GTCAACCCTGAGCCGGTGAGATTTGAACCGCTGAACTGCTGATCTAGCAGTAGCCTGCAGTGCTGCATTTAACCACTGCGCCACCTTGGCTCTAACTGAATGGGAGGCTTCCGGTTAGGACCTTTGTGGCTCTTTGAGTGCTTAACATTGCCGACAACTGTACTAGAACATCAAAGTCTAAGCAGATAACAGGATTGCCCAATGGTTTGACTTATTATTAGATCATAACATAGCAATGGACCAGTTTCATGAACTGGGGTGATTACCTTTTTTCCAAATAAATTTACATTTTCTTCAGAATAAGTTTATAGGGATTATGTCAGTGGTAGACTGACTGTAGCCAAAAGTAGATGTTACTTCCACCCATCCCTGTTCCTGGCATCCATCTGCTCTGTTTTTCTTCTTCTGAAGGCCCTATTTTCTTAAGTTTCTATTGGCATCCCAAGTGGATCAGAAAACTCTACAAGATGAATGAATTCTACTTTATTGTAAGACTACATTAACAGAATCCTACAATTCTGAAAGTACAAATCTCTCACCATCTCTTTTTACTGGTTGATAAGTTTAGAAAGTTTCTAAGTTTCTTTCTCTGCCCATTAGTCAGTTGTGAGTCTGGTTTATTTGAAGTCAGCATCTCCTCCCTCCTTTTCCAAGTTCATTCTCACATTCTATTACAGTTTCTGAGTCACATTCTTTTGCCACTCCACATACTAAAAAAACCCAAAAACAGTGGATGAAGACTTTCACATGGGCTATGAAGTGGTGATTAGATTGCCAACCCCATTGTTTATTGAATGACAAAGATGTCTTAGTTGTGTAAATTAAAATGAGCATCTTTCTTTCTTTCTTTGTGAGGCTAATGATGAAAAGAGATTATCTCAATGCTTACAGTATGATCGTCTGCAGGCAACAATTTTCATTTGAACAGTTCCACCTGATCTACAATCCTCCACTGACAGCTTAGAACTCCCCAAAAGGCTGCACATGGAATATTATTCCTAAATGGGGGCTAATATTGCATTATATGCTCATGAGTCCTACAAGAATAATATAAAGAGCAAGGAAACATGCATATAGCAATCTAAGGATAAGGGGAAAGAGGAAAATTCTAGGCAGAATCCACCATTTTTAGCTGCAGTCCAGTTTTGACACTGACTAAATATCCTACATGAAAGCATCCTTAACTCTACCCCTTCTCCATCTGGCATATGCAGGATGTTGCAGTCTTCAGTGGCTCGACATGGTCTTGCTTCTTCAATGAATTTCTATTTCATACAATATTGCACTTAGCCCTTTAAGATGATGTGCTTAATGGCATAACTGAATGGTGAATAGGTTTAAATCTGTTCTTAAGTAAATTTTATGATCCAAGGGTCTAGTTTGGCTTTAATACTTAATTGATGCTTTAAGTTCTTTGGCTAAGAACAAGTCTGTCTGTCTGTCTGTCTGTCTGTCTGTCTGTCTGTCTGTCTGTCTGCCTGCCTGCCTGCCTGCCTGCCTGCCTACCTACCTACCTACCTACTTATCTATCTATCTATCTATCTATCTATCTATCTATCTATCTATCTATCTATCTATCATCTAATCTCTTGAAGAATAATGGAAAATTGCTTTATTGAATAAAGAGTATATCTAACTTTAAAGCATTTCTATTCATCCAATGATGTGTTAAACAATGGTTAATGGTGCAAGCCATTAAAAAAAACCTAGTATGCATTAATCATAGAACAAACTGCTATAAAGGTCTAATTCATATATCCACATAGAACCACATGGGAAACCATTAATATAAACAGTACCCTTTCAAATACCAAAGAATTTAAACAATGCTGACTCAGGAACTCTTGTTTTTCAGTTTGCAGCAGCAAAGTTAAAATTCACTGGAGTGCTCAGTAATTTTAACTATTTTGTGTTGTGTCTGGTTGGGAAAAGTATGGATGGCTAATGTCAATGAACTACTGGTGATAAAGGTAATAGAAGGAGGGCTTTGAACAAAGAAGAAATATCTCATTTGACCTGGATTACATCAGGAGGTAGGAGGTTTTATACATATGTCTGGAAAATTTAAAAATTTAAATTTCAAGCAAGCAAACAAATGTACAACAGCACCAAATAAAACAGTAGTTGAGGGCACCAGAAAAGCAAGAATCAGAACTTTGAATTTCCCTTGAGATTCAAAGTGGTCAAAGAGGAAGTAAAGAAGAAAAAGAAGAAATAAATGCAATGTTCTCCTTCATATCCCATACTGATTATTTTAGGGAAGAGTGTAGAAAATGTAGAGTTAATCTTGATAAAAGAATGCAGGAATGATTAAAGGAGAAGTAATGACAACTTAGTTTGAGGAAATGAAAAAAAAACATGAAAAAGAAACTCAAAATATTTTCATTTTGATTTTGTTTGGTTTAAGAGAGAGCAAAGGGAAATTCTGGATGGCCTTCAAACTTCTGTTTCTATACTCTGTGACCAGAAAGTCCCATTCCTATATTCCTTATGGTTTCTATTTCTTGACCTATCTTACCTTAGAGCTGATTATCAAGAACTCTTCCTAGGAAAAACAAGTTATCATGGACCAAAATAGGAGCAGAGGAAGGAAGGAAGGAGGAACTGTTTCAACTTCAACTATTTTAACCTTAAGGATAGACCGAATCATGATCAGTGACATAAAACAACAAGGAGGATAAAGTACTTTAAGATGTGTGATGCAGCTTGGAAGGGCTGTTTTAGAGTCCAGTAATACAAGCTGTAGGAAGGCAGACAATTTATGCTTCTAAGCCAACATGAGCTTACCACTCAGGAGAAGCTGATTACACCGGTATGAAGCTGGAAGTTGACCAACATCTTCTAATCTATGGCTCATTACCCGTGAAAGGTGACCAGTGTGAGAGAGACTTCCCACAATAATGCTATGCAAATATACTGGCTCGATGAAGTAGCTAAGAAGTGCGCCTTGTAACCCAAGGACATTCCATCTGGAAAAGAAATTCAACAGTGAAAAAAATGTTCTACAAGGCAGGAAATTTACATTGTGGGTAACAAAATAATATTCAAAGAGATGGCAAAGCTCATTAGGTGAATGCATAGGTTTATTTTGCAGGAAGAAAAATCCTGAGTGGATGCAGGGGGTATGTCCGGGATGGATCAAGGTTCCCCAATCTGATGCCATCCAGATGTGTTGGCACTTTAACTCCCATAATTCTGGATATCTGGAAGACACCAGGTTTTGGGAGCTGAAGCTGGTAAGTTTTAGAAGTCATACTACAATGGAAGGAAAAATATGACCCTGGTTAAAAAAAATACTTTTGGGGGATACTTCATGATAGGCAAGAGTCAGATATGTGAAATATACTATTTCATGTCTCTCTGCGCCTATGGACTGCTATTAATATTTAGTTGGCCTCCAAAACCTTAAAATGCTGGGATCCATGGTATCACAGAGAACATCCTTTTCATCCCTCCTGTGTATAAAATTATTAAGCTGGAGTTCATCCTGGAAGCCCTCCTTCATTGAGATCAGAATGTCAAAGGACTTTTCTTCAATAATGGCACCTACCTTGTGCAATGTCTTTCTTTTCTAAGTTGTAGAAGGGTGAACACTAATACCTACCTGCTTTTTGAAATGAAGGCTAGGCTTCTCTATTTGGTCAGAGAGTATGGGGGTTGCCTACAATTAACATAACAATTCTCCTTGTAGACAGTTTATCGATACAAATTTCCCTCCTAGAGAGTTTATCCATATTCCTAACACTCCATTCTGTTCTTGAAGAACACGCCATAAGAAAAACTGCCACACAAACGTTGTCTTTAGTGGGTTTAATGATGATGAGCTGAAATATGGGAGACATTTTAGAAAAGGTTAGAGAGATTTTGCTATTTAAGGCAACATCCAGTGGTTGCTGTGCTGGAAAAAAAAGCATTTAAAGTGCAAATCTGTACCAGCAGGAAGCATTATGTAGCTAATTTCTTACATCATTGTTCTTTTCATTAATTAACATTTCTCAACCGTTAGTGCTATAATTGCGGTGCCTCTGTGCCGTACGTCGCTTTCCATGATTAATAAGGAGCCATTATACTTCCCTTTCCTGAAGCAGTCAATTAACACGAAATACTTTCCATTAATTACTGAATGTTTAAAACCAGCATGCTGTACCTGGAGAGCAATCTGCTCAAGGAACCTGTGACAAAAATTGCTTTCAGAAGTTCCTTTTAAATTTTATTCCTCCCTCTCCCTCTCCCTCCCTTCCTCCCTCCCCCTCCCTCTGTCTCTCTCACACACACAAACAAAAGAGCAAACCACAGGCAATTTAGTTGGCTATATTAATTTGCTTTAGAAGCAAGGGCCTGCGAATGAGAAACATCTTTTAATCTCATGGAAGACAAGGCAGCCATCTGGCTGCTAAGGATTTCTGCGTGAGGCTGCCCCTCTCTTTCTCTCTAAAATGCAGGTCATTAAAGTAATGTGTTCATCCTACATAAAACTCAAATGGAAGATAAAAGGTAATATTTATATACAAACAATTTAGTCCCACCATTTAAACAGTCATTGGTTTTATGAAACATTTACTTTAGTCTATCAGATTTGCATATTTTCATTTGGGTTTGTGTGTTTGGGGGGAAAATGCAAGCATATATGGTCATTTCTGCAGATTATCTGCCTATTTACCAACCAATCAACTTATTATGTTTAAAGGCTACTCTGTACTAAAACAAATCAGGAATGAAATCAAAGGAAACTGGCAAGCTTTGCAAACGTTAAACAATTTTAGATTTATTTAACAACAGAACCGATTTCTCATCAGAGATTCTGTTTTGGTAGAAATACATATATTATCTCAAAATTGTTTCTGGAGTAATTTAGAACAGACTCCAAAACATCTAAGACAGAATCTTCTTATTATTATTAATAAGATGTGCCCTGTCTAATATTACAATGGCCATCCAGTGGTTATGATCCTTTCCATTAATCATTTTACTGTATTCAGACTTACATACTCTCACTAAACATGGAAGTTCAATACAGAAATTTAGGATCGCTGCTGTAAAATAACAGACTTGGAAGGGATCTTGGAGGTCTTCTATTCCAACCCCCTTCTCAAGCAGGAAACTCTATACCATTTCAGACAAATGGTTGTCCAATCTTTTCTTAAAACCCTCCAGTGTTGGAGCACCCATAACCTTTGGAGGCAAATTGTTCCACTGGTTAATTGATTAGGTGATGCAGTTTGGCTGTTCAAAATTGCAGAGCATGGTATCTGACAGGTTCATGAAGGATCAGACTAATGTATTCTTGTCTTTGGGGGATACTTCACATCCCTGGAGTCTCAAGCAAACTATCTTGAATAGCAGCTGTTAGGAAGCAACAATGGAGGAGGACTGTTTGTTGGTCTATGTTTATAACCTTCTGGAATACAAATGACTACGGTGCAGAATATTTTAAATAAGATTGGCCATTAGACTAATTCAGCAGTATTCTTTTGTGTTTTAGGAATGGCCCCCAAATTTGGACTGCGCCACTTAGACTAATATACCGCTTCACAATGCTTTACAGCCCTCTCTAAGTTGTTTATAGTGACCAGCATATTGCCCAAATGTGGACTGCAATATAGCAATAGCAATGCCACTTAGACTTATATACTGCTTCACAATGCTTTACAGCCCTCTCTAAGTTGTTTATAGTGTCAGCATATTGCCCCCAACAATCCTCATTTTACTGACCGTGGGAGGATGGAAGGCTGAGTCAACCTCGTGCTGGTAGGACTTGAACTGCCAAATTGCAGTCAACCAGCAGTCAGCAGAAGTAGCCTGCAATACTGCATTCTAACCACTATGCCATCACGGCTCTTAGATAGATAAAATATATGTTTGAAGATCCACTGAATCAGTTCATGTTGCCTGGCCAGTAAATTCCAAAAGATGTAAAGAATGCCTTTCTGCAAAGCATTCTATTTTTTTTCCAGAAGCAATTTTCCCTGCTGCTTCCTATTTATTCAACTGACATTAAATTGAATAAATTCAACTGACATCGACTGAATTAAGGATTTCATCAAGGCAACATCGAAGGAGTCCTCTGCAGTTGAAGGTTGCAGGTTGAAGTTGGTCTGCTGAATGATTGCAAGAGAAAAGGGAACTCCTACTTTAGTTCAGTCATTGAAAAAAAGACAACTAGCATGTAGGTTCTAAAATGGACACGGTGACTCAGTCAGTGGCTAAGATGCTGAGCTTGTCATCAGAAAGAACAGCAGTTTGAATCCCTAGCGCCGTATAATAGAGTGAGTTCCCGTTATTTGTTCCAGTTTCTGCCAACTTAGCAGTTTGAAAGCACATAAAAATGCAAGTAGAAAAATAGGAACCACCTTTGGTAGGAAGGTAACAGTGTTCCATGCACCTTCGGGGTTTAATCATGACCACAGAGATCTCTTTGGACTGCACTGTCTCTTTGGCTTTGAAATGGAGATGAGCACCGCCCCCTAGAGTTGGGAACGATTAGCACATATGTGCAAAGGGAACCTTTACCTTTACATTATGTAGATTCTACAACCACACATATCCTTACCTGAATTAGCTGGTTTTTTTTGTTTCAGTTCATCACTTTATCAATAAGAGGGATCACAACCAATGGTTTGCATTTTAAAATTCCCCCTCATACAATAGTAATTCATCAGGTAGGAAGGTAAATTAGTTTTTTCCATATAGAGAAGGGCTTTCTCTGTGTCTCTCAGTCCAAAGCCCAGAAACAGTTTTATTAACATAATTGACAATTGATAGTTGCTTTTTTTTATATAGATAGAAAGTTGTAGTTACAATTCCACCCATTTCCCCATGGATAGCATTTTCAAAGTTAAATTTTTTGAAATATTAACCTGATTACAGAAAGTGAAAGCACCACTGCATTCCAGGCACTCAATACATCAATGTGACTTGTCTTGCTAAGAAGGCATATGATGGATAGATTGATATTTTCTTTTAATTGTGCAGAACATTGGGAGTGCACCTTTCAAGGACACAACACCAGCTGAAGTAACTTCATGAAGCGAGAAATGGACTCATCCACTTAAGAGGAACAGGCTCTTCAATTAGCAATTTTTTAAAAAAGTATTTTTTTAAAAAGATATTTTGCTTCTCATCCAAGAAGCTTCTTCAGAATTGAAGAAGCTTATTGGATGAGAAGCAAAACATCTTCAAGGAAAAACAAAGGAAGTCCAGTTGCCTCTTGAAAAAGCACATTTGGGACTTGGATGACTGAGAATCTCCATAGATATATTTTTAAATTTTTTTATTGAGTTTTGGTTTCTATTGCTGTTATGAGCTGTGCAGAGTTGTGTTTGGATGAACAACCATGCATATAGTTTAAATAAATAAATTTAAAATAAAGTACTTATACTGATTTATCCTGAATTACATTGAAACCAGGGAATCTGGGCAAGTTTAAATCCAAGTCCTTGGGACTGAATTTTAGTGTGAACATGGCAATCCATTCTCACTGTAATAAGAAAATATAATGAACTAAAGAAACATGTTTCATTGCAGCTAATTCTGCTTTTCGAAGCACAATAATTCCTGTTAAAACATACTTGGTTTTCTTTTGTCAAGAACTGAAGGGCCAGATTCAGAATGGAAGGAACCCAAAGGAAGGCAGCTGTTGGCTCTCTGTAAGATATATTTAGAAGCAACAAGAATTGTACATAGTCAATATTCAATTCAACACAATGCTTGAAAAATGGAGCTTATTTATTTATCTTGGTTGCTGAGAGGCAGTTCTGGAGTATTTGCTTTGAGGAGCAGTAGGTGGTATCCTAGAATTCCCCCCCCCTTTAAAGTAATCCTCCCTCTCAACTTTAGTATGCAATGAATCTCAGATTGTTCTTTCTTCCTGAAATAACCTTAGGCTGGCTTTAATTCCTTGTGACTGATTCTTTTCAGACTATATTGAAGAGATTCATGTTGAAGCTTTAAATCAAAATTTTAGTAAACA